AACCTAAGGTAAACGCACACTAAACACCAGAAACTTCTGTATAACTCTCGTTGAATTATTCACAAACACGAATACAAGGTCTGGATACAGCTAGAGAGCTTAACCTCCCCCTACAGGAATCACGCTTCCTGTACAACTCACACAACAACCTCCTTCTCTATTCAATTATTCACTCTTTTATACTACCCATCCCGCCTTTCCTAACTGTTATTGCAGTTAGGCTAACTAACTTCTAATTATTTCTCTTTCTCCTCTCATATACACGTAACTTCCTAACATTACCCTCCCCTTCTTCAGCAACCTTGTCCTCAAGGTTGAAATTAAAATCAGGATACTGATCTTGGATAGTCAACACGTCTTCCCACGTAGCTCCTTCGCTGCCACCCTCCTGCCACTGAACCAGGATCTGTTGTATTTTCTCATTCCCTTGCTGTCGTTGCCTCGTCCCCAACACTCTCACTGGCCAATATGTAGGCCCTTCTGCTTGTAGCTCAGTTGGTAGACCCTTCTCAACCTTCTTTGATCCCACCGCTTTCTTGAGTTGTGACACATGAAAGACTGCATGTATACGTGCATTTTCTGGCAGCTGTAGTCGGAATGCCACTGGGCCCACCTGCTGTAGCACCTGGAAAGGGCCAAAGTATCGAGCTGCTAGTTTAGGATGTAAACGAACTGGTATAGATGCTTGCTTATGGGGTCTAATTTTAAGATAGACCCAATCCCCCACTTTAATGTCTACATCTCTTCTCTTCTTATTCGCTTGATTCACCATTAAATCCTGAGCACGACTTAGGTGAAATTTCAGTTGCCTCAAAGCCTCGTCCCTTGTCATGAGGTCTTGTGCGACTGCCTCTACCACTGACTCCCCCGGTATAAATCTGTTCAAGGATGGAGGAGCTCTTCCATAGACCGTTTCAAACGGCGTGCATCTCGCAGCTCCTTGGTAGCTGGTGTTGTACCAGTACTCAGCCCACGGTAACACTGCATGCCAGTTCTTGGGCTGCTCTGAGCAAAAACATCTCAGATATCCCTCCAAAATCCGATTAATTACCTCGGTCTGTCCATCCGTGGCCGGGTGGTAAGCAGTACTCATATTGAGCTGTGTCCCCTGCATTCTAAAAAGCTCCCTCCAAAACGTACTCAAGAACAAAGGATCTCGATCACTCACAATTGAAACAGGGACCCCATGTAGCTTGACAACCTCTCGGATAAACACCTCCGCCACCGTTTTAGCCGAATAAGGATGTCTAAGTGCCATAAAGTGTGCGTATTTGCTCAGCCTATCCACCACAACCAATATAGCATCATAACCTTGTGATTTAGGTAGCTTTACAATAAAATCCATGGTGATCTCCTCCCATACTGCTTGCGGTATTGGTAGAGGTTGCAACAACCCTTGGGGGGAAGCTGCCATATACTTGTGCTGCTGACAAATCACGCATTCAGCCACAAAAGCGGTGACAGCTTTCTTCATACCCTTCCAATAAAGAGACTGGGCTATCCTCCTATATGTTCTAAATACCCCAGAATGTCCCCCGGTATTCGTTACGTGAAACTCAGCCAATAGCTTGGGAATCCAGGTAGATGTTTCGGATATTACAAGTCTCCCCTTGTAGTGCAGGCAGTCATTCTCTAGAGTATACACCGCATGGCATTCGGGATCCCTCTGAATGTCAGCTATTATCTTTTTCAACGTCTCATCTCTTTCCACCTCCTTTAATACCTCCTGAAAATCCTGCCAGTAGGACCTGGACATCCCTCGTAACTCTGCCTCCTCCCATAATCCGCATCATCTGCTGCATGTCCCGTCGTATCGCAGCGGTTTCCGCCTTAATCCCTTCTACCGTAATTTCAAGGTTCTCCAACCTTCCCTCCGTTTTGCTCTCCATCTCTGTCAACCCCTCTCTCGATCCGGCAGGTCGGACCAAATGTTAGGTTCCTAATTCAAGAACCTAAGGTAAACGCACACTAAACACCAGAAACTTCTGTATAACTCTCGTTGAATTATTCACAAACACGAATACAAGGTCTGGATACAGCTAGAGAGCTTAACCTCCCCCTACAGGAATCACGCTTCCTGTACAACTCACACAACAACCTCCTTCTCTATTCAATTATTCACTCTTTTATACTACCCATCCCGCCTTTCCTAATTGTTATTGCTGTTAGGCTAACTAACTTCTAATTATTTCTCTTTCTCCTCTCATATACACGTAACTTCCTAACAATACCTTTTAAAAATTACATATGATCTATGGTTGACCTCCTTGGCATACAATAATATGCCGTATCTACTGTCAACTACTGTTTCCCACTTTCCACCACAATGAACCTAACATTAACATGTAGAAACTCACAAAGAGATGCACAGTTTCATATTTAATTTTCCTTAGTTCTCACTTATAAGTAACACCCACACAAATTTACCACCAACAAACCACATAAGCTACATGATACATCAAATTGAAATCATCCAATTACTGCACAGCCAAGTGATCCTCCTACAGCTTTCTCAACAATAGGATGTAGAGACAAGTGTTTACATTCAAGGTCAAATAAAGATTATGAAGTGGAGGTGGGAGGAAATTGCAATAACCAAATCTTTTAGTGCCAACAGGAAACAACTGAGATATTCATCCAATTTAGGTTGCATAGGTGTTACATACTGGCTTTCTCTAAAAAAAATTTCCTACAGAACATTCTAAGACTTAGCAAACTGTTACCAGAAAAGGGCAGTTTGGCCTTAATCAGTAGGTCCACGTCAAAACAACAATTACCAACAAATTCACTCAACCTTAAGATAGCCATACTTCCCCCATATGGCGGAGATTAATATTGACAGAAACTCAATGTTATCATGCAGACTATCCGATAGAAATACAAGATTTCTGTTCATTGCAACCAAAAAAAGAAATGAAGAACAATTTAAATTAAAAAAAAAAATTCAGAATTTGATAGTCTCTGACATAAACATGTATTTCTACAAACCTGAGAATCAAGAAATGTGCATGCCGCCTCCAGGGCTACTTCAAGGGCCCTGAACTCGAAAGGTAAATAATCGGGGGAAGAGTTGCTAAATACATTATCAAAATTCCTACTTCCCCTCCTTCGGTTCATGTCAGAACCCTCTGATGGCCAAACCTCCCCTACCCCAGTTGCTGTCAACCGTCGTTGTAGCTCCATTACATAGTGCAATACATAACTATCAAGGGAATTCAAGAGAAGAACTTCATCTGCTGTAATGATACACCGTATCTGCTCCAGATTTACAACAATAGCTTTTTCCCTGCCAAGGATTGTTGATGGGTAGACAAACAAGGGATCAAGTAGGCGAAGATCACGAGCAGGTAGATCACAACGTCGCATCATGGTAAACTTGTCTACTTCAATGGCTTGAGAGTTTCCAGATGTGTCAACACGAATCCATGATCGGAGACCTTGGCCTCGCTTCTTTAACCCCAGAACATCCACCCCTTGGAAAGCATGCCTTCCAGAGGCAGATGGTCGATTGGCAACCTCTCTTACATTAAGAGCCGAAGCAGGTTTTGGTGGTAGCAGCCTCTCCTTGAGATCTGCCATTGTGAAGTTTCACCAATAACTGAAAGAACATGTGAGATAAGAGCTTTAACCACCCATTGGTTCCAACAATATTATACAAACAAATTATCACTCATATGATAGACAGTATTGATCTATCTAGACACACGTCAATCTCTCAACATATTTGTGGCCCCAACAGATGAAGAGTGAATCAGTTAGGAATCTCCCACAGTATATTCAATGACATCATGGCCTTAACAATAATAGAAGTCTCAGACAACTAAAAGATAGTGGGAGGAAGAGGGTCATCCCAAATTAACCCATCACAAGTTGGCTTTGGCCACATCACTGCACAACGTTCTTTACTAGCTATCTCCAAGAAGCATCATATGCATCACATGATGAAGTAATCAATTAAGTTACTAATACAAATACTATGCAGTAGACTACGATTATTAACTTATTCTATCAAGAGGAAATATCCAGGTTTCGGAAAATAAGGACTCCAGGTACCTGATATTATGGGAATAACACATGCATATCATACCCCAAGCAAAGCATCTATGTTAATATATTTCATCCGATCATAAAAGACACGGCAAAAATAAAAAATCACACGTTTTTAAAGAACAGGTCAAAATCTTCACACCAGAAGGCATTCAAAGACTGCATACAAGGAAGAATCATACCTCCGACTTTACTTCAACAGAAATCGGATAATTGCCGATACTCCGCAACAAATCCGACAAGAGAATCTATCTTAAATTATGCGAGAAAACCGACAGGGAATGGCTTTTTACCGAAGAAAGTCGAAACAGAAGAAGGGGGAAAAGTAAGGAGATCAAAACCCTTGAATTAGAGTTGGGGAAATACATGAAATAGAGAAACTGAGATTGATTAGCGCCGAATTATGAAGAGAAATAGTTGAGAGCGAAGTCCGTAGTATTTGTGTCTCGTGCGGGGTGTGTGTGAAGTTCATCACACCTTCACACACTGCAGAGAAGAAGATAACAACACGCCACAGAAACAGAACTAAATTGTGATTATAATTAATAATTTACTGATTATTGTTCCCAAAGTAATTAATTAACTTCATATGTGGTTAAATATGAATCACAGGAGATTTAATTTTACTTTTCTGTTACAAATATTTTAAACTATACCGTAATAAAATATCATCTTCAAATAAAAGAATATATGATTTTTTATAAAATAAAAACAAACACCACAAGATTTAACAAAATATTAATTTTTTTATAAATTTAAAACTATAATAAAATAATAATATTTCAAAAATGCAAACTTTATTTACACAATAAAACTTATGCATTTATTCCATTTAAATTTTAATTCATGATTTAGTTTATCATNATATATATATATATATATATATATATATATTTCTATTCTTTTAAGAAGTTTATATCAGAAAAATTCTATAAATTAGCTCATGCAATAGCTAATTTTAATTTATGGATAAATTTAGTTTACTTTTCTTTTTTATTTTCTTTTCCTGTAAGTGTTTATGGAGAAATTCATCAAAACAAAGTGTCTAATCGTTTTTGTTCTTCTAGATCCCTACAGCATGAAAATCAGAAATACTAAGGGAGAGTTTGATTCAAGTTACATATTTATATTCCCAGAATAATCACATTCCCCAAGAATATCATGCCTAAAACATGATTCCCATGAACATGTTTCATTGGCATTTTGTAATTTCAGAAAATAGAATAGATTTATTTAACTTAAAAGGTGAAAAACTAAAAATGGAAAAAATGTGAAAGAATGAAATGGGGATTGGTGGTTATTGAAGAAACTAATTTCTCTTCCCATGAAATGTAAGATACACAACTTTCACCGAGGCAATAAGAAGCCATTGTCCCATACGCCTACAATCTTAGAGCAACAAAATTCAAAATACTCCGACCTCTCCCCATTGTGAGTTGTTTTAGTAAACATGTTCCGTAATTTGCACTTGCATGTATGATCAGACATAGAAACACTACCAAAATAGGATAAATAAAATTGGCATAAACCCCGGGAAAAGAAAACAAACCAGTTGGATGTTTATGAAATCTTCTGTGTCATCAATGTATTCTTTCAACTGAAACAAAAACACAGGAAATAGTGGTTGATAAACTGTCATGAAACCAGAAAGAAAAGGGTTGGTGTTGTATACAACAGTGTTTACCGATGTCAACTTGTTTAGAGTGCTGTCAATGACAACAAAGTATGCTTCCAGCAACATCTCAAGTTCCTCTATACTTTCCGTAGTACTTTCAGAACTTCGCATGCTCTCATGTCGACTTCTAGCAATACTGAAGCTCTTTTCTAGCTTTCGAGAATCAGGAGGTGATGACACAGGAGAAACCGGGGCAGAAATGGATGCACCATCAACTGATTTATATCCAACCATAGACTGATCTCCGTAAAATGACAACTCCATTCGTCTTTTCTTCTCAGTAAGATACATTTCAGCCATGTCACCATCATCGTCCATAAGCTGCTCTATTTCATCTCTAACCTGAATATATACATTTGCAAAGCAAATACTAATAAGACAGAAAATATGGTAACTGACACTACCAATAAAAAGGAAAGACGAAAATATAAACCAGCATCACCTTCTGAACCCTCCTGGTCAACGCAACAAGTCTGCTTTTTAATCGACGAACACGTTCCAAATTTAAAGTACTGATCTTTGATGTCAGTTCATCCAACAAGGGATAAGCTTCAATTTCTAACTCTGCTGCCTTTTGTAAATGGCCAGAACAGAAACTCAAATTTTACAAAGTAATTTATCCATACCAAATGAACAAGAATATCAATGCAGAAAATATTCTACACAAGCACATGGATCAAGAATTATGCTTGAATACAATATGAAGAATGAGTTTTGAACAATAATGCTATCACTTGACTTTTAATGCCGCCATACCATGTGGAGAAAGAGGAGGTCATACTTGCCTTAAATAACTTTTCATCATACCTGTTAGGTTCCTAATTCAAGAACCTAAGGTAAACGCACACTAAACACCATAAACTTCTGTATAACTCTCGTTGAATTATTCACAAACACGAATACAAGGTCTGGATACAGCTAGAGAGCTTAACCTCCCCCTACAGGAATCACGCTTCCTGTACAACTCACACAACAACCTCCTTCTCTATTCAATTATTCACTCTTTTATACTACCCATCCCGCCTTTCCTAACTGTTATTGCAGTTAGGCTAACTAACTTCTAATTATTTCTCTTTCTCTTCTCATATACACGTAACTTCCTAACATTACCCTCCCCTTCTTCAGCAACCTTGTCCTCAAGGTTGAAATTAAAATCAGGATACTGATCTTGGATAGTCAACACGTCTTCCCACGTAGCTCCTTCGCTGCCACCCTCCTGCCACTGAACCAGGATCTGTTGTATTTTCTCATTCCCTTGCTGTCGTTGCCTCGTCCCCAACACTCTCACTGGCCAATATGTAGGCCCTTCTGCTTGTAGCTCAGTTGGTAGACCCTTCTCAACCTTCTTTGATCCCACCGCTTTCTTGAGTTGTGACACATGAAAGACTGCATGTATACGTGCATTTTCTGGCAGCTGTAGTCGGAATGCCACTGGGCCCACCTGCTGTAGCACCTGGAAAGGGCCAAAGTATCGAGCTGCTAGTTTAGGATGTAAACGAACTGGTATAGATGCTTGCTTATGGGGTCTAATTTTAAGATAGACCCAATCCCCCACTTTAATGTCTACATCTCTTCTCTTCTTATTCGCTTGATTCACCATTAAATCCTGAGCACGACTTAGGTGAAATTTCAGTTGCCTCAAAGCCTCGTCCCTTGTCATGAGGTCTTGTGCGACTGCCTCTACCACTGACTCCCCCGGTATAAATCTGTTCAAGGATGGAGGAGCTCTTCCATAGACCGTTTCAAACGGCGTGCATCTCGCAGCTCCTTGGTAGCTGGTGTTGTACCAGTACTCAGCCCACGGTAACACTGCATGCCAGTTCTTGGGCTGCTCTGAGCAAAAACATCTCAGATATCCCTCCAAAATCCGATTAATTACCTCGGTCTGTCCATCCGTGGCCGGGTGGTAAGCAGTACTCATATTGAGCTGTGTCCCCTGCATTCTAAAAAGCTCCCTCCAAAACGTACTCAAGAACAAAGGATCTCGATCACTCACAATTGAAACAGGGACCCCATGTAGCTTGACAACCTCTCGGATAAACACCTCCGCCACCGTTTTAGCCGAATAAGGATGTCTAAGTGCCATAAAGTGTGCGTATTTGCTCAGCCTATCCACCACAACCAATATAGCATCATAACCTTGTGATTTAGGTAGCTTTACAATAAAATCCATGGTGATCTCCTCCCATACTGCTTGCGGTATTGGTAGAGGTTGCAACAACCCTTGGGGGGAAGCTGCCATATACTTGTGCTGCTGACAAATCACGCATTCAGCCACAAAAGCGGTGACAGCTTTCTTCATACCCTTCCAATAAAGAGACTGGGCTATCCTCCTATATGTTCTAAATACCCCAGAATGTCCCCCGGTATTCGTTACGTGAAACTCAGCCAATAGCTTGGGAATCCAGGTAGATGTTTCGGATATTACAAGTCTCCCCTTGTAGTGCAGGCAGTCATTCTCTAGAGTATACACCGCATGGCATTCGGGATCCCTCTGAATGTCAGCTATTATCTTTTTCAACGTCTCATCTCTTTCCACCTCCTTTAATACCTCCTGAAAATCCTGCCAGTAGGACCTGGACATCCCTCGTAACTCTGCCTCCTCCCATAATCCGCATCATCTGCTGCATGTCCCGTCGTATCGCAGCGGTTTCCGCCTTAATCCCTTCTACCGTAATTTCAAGGTTCTCCAACCTTCCCTCCGTTTTGCTCTCCATCTCTGTCAACCCCTCTCTCGATCCGGCAGGTCGGACCAAATGTTAGGTTCCTAATTCAAGAACCTAAGGTAAACGCACACTAAACACCAGAAACTTCTGTATAACTCTCGTTGAATTATTCACAAACACGAATACAAGGTCTGGATACAGCTAGAGAGCTTAACCTCCCCCTACAGGAATCACGCTTCCTGTACAACTCACACAACAACCTCCTTCTCTATTCAATTATTCACTCTTTTATACTACCCATCCCGCCTTTCCTAATTGTTATTGCAGTTAGGCTAACTAACTTCTAATTATTTCTCTTTCTCCTCTCATATACACGTAACTTCCTAACAATACCTCTTAAAAATTACATATGATCTATGGTTGACCTCCTTGGCATACAATAATATGCCGTATCTACTGTCAACTACTGTTTCCCACTTTCCACCACAATGAACCTAACATTAACATGTAGAAACTCACAAAGAGATGCACAGTTTCATATTTAATTTTCCTTAGTTCTCACTTATAAGTAACACCCACACAAATTTACCACCAACAAACCACATAAGCTACATGATACATCAAATTGAAATCATCCAATTACTGCACAGCCAAGTGATCCTCCTACAGCTTTCTCAACAATAGGATGTAGAGACAAGTGTTTACATTCAAGGTCAAATAAAGATTATGAAGTGGAGGTGGGAGGAAATTGCAATAACCAAATCTTTTAGTGCCAACAGGAAACAACTGAGATATTCATCCAATTTAGGTTGCATAGGTGTTACATACTGGCTTTCTCTAAAAAAAATTTCCTACAGAACATTCTAAGACTTAGCAAACTGTTACCAGAAAAGGGCAGTTTGGCCTTAATCAGTAGGTCCACGTCAAAACAACAATTACCAACAAATTCACTCAACCTTAAGATAGCCATACTTCCCCCATATGGCGGAGATTAATATTGACAGAAACTCAATGTTATCATGCAGACTATCCGATAGAAATACAAGATTTCTGTTCATTGCAACCAAAAAAAGAAATGAAGAACAATTTAAATTAAAAAAAAAAATTCAGAATTTGATAGTCTCTGACATAAACATGTATTTCTACAAACCTGAGAATCAAGAAATGTGCATGCCGCCTCCAGGGCTACTTCAAGGGCCCTGAACTCGAAAGGTAAATAATCGGGGGAAGAGTTGCTAAATACATTATCAAAATTCCTACTTCCCCTCCTTCGGTTCATGTCAGAACCCTCTGATGGCCAAACCTCCCCTACCCCAGTTGCTGTCAACCGTCGTTGTAGCTCCATTACATAGTGCAATACATAACTATCAAGGGAATTCAAGAGAAGAACTTCATCTGCTGTAATGATACACCGTATCTGCTCCAGATTTACAACAATAGCTTTTTCCCTGCCAAGGATTGTTGATGGGTAGACAAACAAGGGATCAAGTAGGCGAAGATCACGAGCAGGTAGATCACAACGTCGCATCATGGTAAACTTGTCTACTTCAATGGCTTGAGAGTTTCCAGATGTGTCAACACGAATCCATGATCGGAGACCTTGGCCTCGCTTCTTTAACCCCAGAACATCCACCCCTTGGAAAGCATGCCTTCCAGAGGCAGATGGTCGATTGGCAACCTCTCTTACATTAAGAGCCGAAGCAGGTTTTGGTGGTAGCAGCCTCTCCTTGAGATCTGCCATTGTGAAGTTTCACCAATAACTGAAAGAACATGTGAGATAAGAGCTTTAACCACCCATTGGTTCCAACAATATTATACAAACAAATTATCACTCATATGATAGACAGTATTGATCTATCTAGACACACGTCAATCTCTCAACATATTTGTGGCCCCAACAGATGAAGAGTGAATCAGTTAGGAATCTCCCACAGTATATTCAATGACATCATGGCCTTAACAATAATAGAAGTCTCAGACAACTAAAAGATAGTGGGAGGAAGAGGGTCATCCCAAATTAACCCATCACAAGTTGGCTTTGGCCACATCACTGCACAACGTTCTTTACTAGCTATCTCCAAGAAGCATCATATGCATCACATGATGAAGTAATCAATTAAGTTACTAATACAAATACTATGCAGTAGACTACGATTATTAACTTATTCTATCAAGAGGAAATATCCAGGTTTCGGAAAATAAGGACTCCAGGTACCTGATATTATGGGAATAACACATGCATATCATACCCCAAGCAAAGCATCTATGTTAATATATTTCATCCGATCATAAAAGACACGGCAAAAATAAAAAATCACACGTTTTTAAAGAACAGGTCAAAATCTTCACACCAGAAGGCATTCAAAGACTGCATACAAGGAAGAATCATACCTCCGACTTTACTTCAACAGAAATCGGATAATTGCCGATACTCTGCAACAAATCCGACAAGAGAATCTATCTTAAATTATGCGAGAAAACCGACAGGGAATGGCTTTTTACCGAAGAAAGTCGAAACAGAAGAAGGGGGAAAAGTAAGGAGATCAAAACCCTTGAATTAGAGTTGGGGAAATACATGAAATAGAGAAACTGAGATTGATTAGCGCCGAATTATGAAGAGAAATAGTTGAGAGCGAAGTCCGTAGTATTTGTGTCTCGTGCGGGGTGTGTGTGAAGTTCATCACACCTTCACACACTGCAGAGAAGAAGATAACAACACGCCACAGAAACAGAACTAAATTGTGATTATAATTAATAATTTACTGATTATTGTTCCCAAAGTAATTAATTAACTTCATATGTGGTTAAATATGAATCACAGGAGATTTAATTTTACTTTTCTGTTACAAATATTTTAAACTATACCGTAATAAAATATCATCTTCAAATAAAAGAATATATGATTTTTTATAAAATAAAAACAAACACCACAAGATTTAACAAAATATTAATTTTTTTATAAATTTAAAACTATAATAAAATAATAATATTTCAAAAATGCAAACTTTATTTACACAATAAAACTTATGCATTTATTCCATTTAAATTTTAATTCATGATTTAGTTTATCATGTAATTATACATAACTTTTCCGATCAAATAAACTAATTTATATCTTGAAACTTAGATAATAGTCCTCACACCACATAGAAAAGTTTTTTCTGCTGAATATTTTATTTTAAAAACTTGAATTTAAATTTTTGAATTTATTAAATACACAATTAAAAAAAATTATGGATACTTAAAAAGATAATATATCATGTCTTACAAAATATTCAGTTATAAATTTATTTGGTAGTCTGTTTCTTAAAAACATAAGTGCCTCAATAGAAAGAAGGTCTGATTGTAACATAAGATGCGTAGTGAAGGTTGAAAGTTGAAGTCCAATGGCTGCACCTCTCCGGTTACACTGCTACTATTCTTACTTTTCAAGCAGATTGCATGGCATCGCAAGACGAAATTCCCAGCTGACTGTGCCTCTAATCGGAATTGGAAGCTGTAGTAAATTTTCCTCTGAGGCATTGCATCAAACAGTTTCACTACACTCTCGGTCCCAAAACCAGTACCATGCGCCTTTTGACTTCAACTTCAACTTGGATGACCCATCACTACCAGAATTTCTGGAATTGCTAAAAAAAGTTGCCCATTCGTCGTTTCAAGCAGAGGGTCTTCATTCATCAAGTTTCCAAGCAAACAGGGATTTGATATGTTCCGCGATTTGGGCATTGAGGGAGGAATGGAAACCTGCATTGCTTGCCTTCAAATGGAATTGCCATCTTAACGACGAGAAAGTTTGCAACTTGATGGTATGGGTCTCGGCAACTCATGGAAAGTTTTCCACTGCTTGGTGCATCATTCGAGATATGCATCATTCGTCTCTCTCCACGCGTCAGGCTATGCTTATTATGATTGATAGGTAAGCTACTTCAACATTCAATCTCCAAATAAATATTACTATAAATTGCCATAGTTTTACAAATTTATCTTCATACATTTGGAACAACTGAACTGCTGGAATGCAATGTATAGTTGATGGCAAATAAAGTGTAGAGATTGTTCTCCTTCATTCTATTGTGGATATGACATTTGTGGCCATCTTAAGAAACTCTATCTGTATATCGTTGTGGGACTTCTTACTTGCTGAGGGCTGCTGATGAGAATATCTACCGAATTATTACCGTTAGATTGTTGATGCCAGTCTTGCTTTGATTTTATCTGATTCATGACATGATCAACCTTGATTGTTTTCTTATGGATCATAGATATTGTCGATTCTTGATAGTGTCATGTCAACTCTGTTAATAGTAGACAATTTCCCTCCTTTTTATTTATGGTATTTTGTTTCTATCAGATATGCATCTGTAAACAACACAGTCAAGGCTATTCAAACATTCAACTTTATGGACACGTTCAGATTGACTCCTGATCAAGAAGCATTTCATGCACTGTTGGCTGCTCTTTGTAAATATGGAAACGTTGAAGAGGCCGAAGAGTTTATGTTACTGAATAAGAAGCTCTTCCCACTTGAGACTCAGAGCTTTAACATTATTCTTAATGGATGGTGTAACATAACAAGGGATGTATATGAAGCAAAAAGAGTTTGGAGAGAAATGTCAAAATACTGTATAACACCAGATGGTACTTCGTATAGCCACATGATTTCCTGCTTCTCAAAGGAAGGGAACCTCTTTGACTCTCTTAGACTCTATGATCAGATGAAGAAAAGGGGATGGACCCCTGGAATAGAGATATACAATTCATTGGTATATGTTTTAACTCGTGCCAATTGCTTGAAGGAAGCTCTTAGGACTATAGATAAGTTGAAAGAACAAGGTTTGCAGCCTGATTCTTCCACCCTCAATGCCATGATACTCCCTCTTTGTGAAACTGGAAAGCTAGCGGAGGCAAGGGTAGTATTTAACACAATGGTGGAAGAGAATGTTTGTCCAACCACTGAAACCTACCATGCATTTTTTGAGGGAACAGATTATCAAGGATCATTGGAATTTCTGAGTAGGATGAAAGATTCTGGTCTGGGTCCTAATAAGGATTCCTTTCTCATAATTTTGACAAAATTCTTAAAGTTGAAACAACCTGTAAATGCAGTGAAAATTTGGACTGAAATGAAGGCATATGATTTGGTCCCTAGTTGTGTGCATTACAAAGTAATGGTTGAAGAGCTTGTAAATTGTAGGTGGTTCATAAAGGCCAGATATTTTTATGAGGAGATGATTTCAAATGGATGTTCAGCAGATCCAAAGCTTAATAAGCTCTTCCAGAAAGAAGTACCAGTTCATGGTGATAAAGGAAAACAGAATGTTAAAAATGCTATTAGCAATAAAAGTGCGAAATATTGTATAAAATGATTAGATGAAGCAGAAAAATTATTAAGACCAGTGAAGAGATAGGACATTCTGTAACTTGTAACTTAGAAGCACATGCTCCCTATATTTGCCATTCCACATTGTGCCACAGTGCATACCATATTAGCACTTAACTGCTAATATTGTTAACTATGGCACGATATCTTGCGAAGTTCACTTTGGTATGTCATAGTCCTTACAGTTGATGCAGTCTGGCTGTGGCCCCTTGACCTCGTACTATGTTTTGAACTTTGTTACAGGAGCAGCAAACGTACTGAGGTATTGGGAAACGTAAATTTGTGTGAATACTTAAAGTAAATTTGCTTCAGAGTTCATGATATTATTTATATCAATTGAATTTGTGTTTTTTACAATAATTTATTTTATTTTTGATTTCGAACATTCAAGTTAGTACGAAAAAGTAAGATGATGATGTATTAAAAGGTAATATGATGGAAATTTGAGACTTCAGAAAAAAAAATAAAGAAGAAAGATGTAGAGTTTCTTACTGATATAATATTAACGAAACATTAAAACTATAAGTTCACTTTTAATCTTCTTCCTACATTATAATTATTATTTTTTAAATCATTCTTTTATGTTAACAACTTTTTAAATTTCATCCTCTTAAGTAAAATATTGAGTAAACTTGATTATCTCGAAAACAAACTTCAACGACTTCAAACATGATTTAGAATGTTATTAATAAAACAATTCATAATTTGAGATAATTAAAACATATTTAATCTGCTATATATTTGACTTATCACGTGTATGTTCATTAAAACAATTTAATTATGTTTGAATTTTATATTTATTTTTTCACTTTGATATTATAATAAACATCTGCATCACTGCCCAAGTCCATTCTCTAGTAAAGTGTAAAGAGATGCAAATCATGCAACATTTGTGGGTTAGTATATGCTTTTTCAGTGCTGTAGCATATACACCAGAATGATATCTTTACTTTTACGTATAAGTATTGATAACCATCTCTCTTACTAGGTTTTGTCATTATAAACGAATTTTTGGGATTTCGTGGCGTTTGATTTAGCTTTGTCTTCTTTAACAAACGTTGAGAATAAAGACAAGATGATTGCATGTCGTGCAAAATCATGGAAAAGAAAGTAATGTCAACGACATTATGACACATTCATACTTTTACTTAGAAATAGAACAAGCACACTGCTGGCTTAATCATGCTGTTTTAATAGTGACTCACTTTAGTCTCTGATTACGACTTCTGTGGTGCTTCGTCCAACCAACAATGAATATCAAACATAATAAGCATACATTAAATAAAAAGAAAGAAACATTTCGCTGTCACTCTCATAACGCCCAATTGATAAAAAGAAAGAGATAACAGAAAGCTTGAATCCGGTGAACTCTGCTTCTAGTATATATAAAATGGGATTGTACCTATTTTAACAGGAGTAAAAATAACAGCAAATAGGTAAATGCTTTCTGAACACACAAAACAAAATAACAAATCATTACAGATTAGAAAAGGTAGTGAGTGACTTAGAATGCGTTTTGTCAAGAAGTCAAGGCAAGCCTACCAAACAAATGCTACTAACAGATACCCTTTTGCCCTTATCTGTTACAATGAAGAGTTAAGCTAAATCAGTGACCATCCTATACACATTTCAGCTGCAACCATGTGTCATCAAGGGAGACAGTCAACACAGTGCTCTGATAAAGCCACACTGAGAATAATCAGTGGAAATTGAGTCATGAGAAAGAACAAATAACTTAGCTGATTTACATTCAACATAAATCTAACAACATGCGTGTATTCAGGCTCCAAATGAAAACGTATCCACTGATTCTGCAGATGACTTGTGAATCACAAAAAACTATTCTGCAGTGATCTTCTGTTTTCTCCTTGCTTTGCCGTATAATTTGGAAGGTGGAGAAGGGGAGAGCTCAAATGGAAGTGGTGGAAGATCCATCTCCCCCTTCAAAATCTTAACAATATCCCCAATATCCAGCCTCAACTCAGGAATTTTCTGTAAGCAAGTGAGGGCCAGATTGATACACAGGCTTGCTTGCTCCTTGTTGAAATCTTCTTTCAATCTCTCATCCACTAGTTCTAAAATGTTACCAGCTTGAGCCAAGTGTCTACACCAGCTTATCAGGTTTGCTTTCTCTAGCTTCATGGGTGATGCAAGAACATGTAACGGTCTCCTACCTGACACGATTACAAGAATCAAAACTCCAAAACTATAAATATCAGCTTTCTCCATCAAGAATCCACACCCTCCATATTCTGGTGCCACATAACACAGTGTCCCTCTCATGCTAGTTGTGCTGCTAAGCTCGCGACTGAAAAGATCTCCACTCCACATGTCACTACCAATGGAAAGAGTAC